ATTAAAAATTAGTTGAAACAAACAACTCATGCTAATTAACAGCTGAGAGAGTAACACCAAGAATATGAAACCTCTACATGCTTCTAGCACTTGGATGGTAGTGCGAAAACGCCAAGTAAACTGAACGAACCAACAGCAATGAAAAGAACTTGCTGAACGTGGGCAATACAAGCATAATAATAAATTTTCCAGTTCAGCGACTGGAGGCACAAGAAAAACCGAGAGATTTCATGAGAAAACTGACGTTTGAGAAAACGGATATTTTCCTTCAGACTATTACCCACTCGAAGCTATTTAAAACCCAATACAACGATGCGATACTGAAGCTTCTTTACCAATCTGAAACCTGGAACCATATGGACTTTCTGTCATGTGACTGCACAGACTCACCCGAATTTCTTAATCCATTCGTCGTCGGCCCATACCGGCCTGGTCGTCCTTTCGTTTGGCTTTGGTGGCCGGGCGAAGTTCACGCGGATCGTCTTGCCGAATAGCTCAGAGTCATTCATATTGTCAATGGCGGCCATGGCGTCGGCCTCCAGCTCGAACTCGACGAAGCCGAAGCCTCGGTGGCTCTGGCTCTCGTAGTCCAACGGGATCGACACGTCGACGATGTCACCAAAAGGCACGAACGCTGCGTGGAGTACTTTGTCGTTCACCTCCTCGCCGAAACCGCCGACATAAACCGTACGTTTCCGGTTATAAGGAAAATTTGTATGCGACGTCATCGTTTCGCTGGGAACGAATCACCAGAGATCGAAAGAAATCGCTTACATTCAGATGATATTTCAAAATGGTGATAATGAAATTTGAAGCATTCAACTGTGGAAGACGACAACCTAAAAGGGAAGATATAATTATTTTAGAAAAATGACCATATGCATAATTAAACCAGGTGATTAGAATTGTTAGCAGGAAGAACGTAACCCATGTTACAGCAACAAGCGAAGTCTAAACTAAATCGAAAACAATGCTTCAGTCTGACCTATACCAATAAAGTGGCTGAACAATCTATTATTATTTTACAAGCGCCTAGGCGCCTAGCGTCAAACGACAACACATGAGAAAATGCTCTTCAGACAGATTAACGTTCCAGTTCTCATCTATTTCTAACATGCGCTAATAGAGAATTTATATGCAACAAGGATTATGATATTTTCACAGCAAACATCGCTTCAATTATTCTGAGAAGCTAAAAGCGTCAGATATTAATGCAGCTTCACGGTTCTCAACCACAGATGACGACGGCGAATAATAAAACTAATTCCACTGCTAAAAAAGTAAGCTATAGAAAACATGATTCCGAACCTTTTAAGCCACATTCATAACAGTGAACAGCTAAGGAATAGTACAAATATGAAATTTCTATCAGAATAACATACGCAAGGGGCATCTGTACAAGGCAGCGTCGAAAAACCATAAATTAAACTTTGTGCAAGCTGCTTTTGCCGAAGACAACATATGAATATTTTAACAGCCTATGCGGTCATAAGTTACACCATGGGAGATAAATACTAGTCGATCATTAGCAAACATATGATCATAGAAAATATAACTTTAGTATGTACGAAAGCTAGACCGTGAGGTGACTAATATATAAGATACCATTCCCGAAATCACCTGGCTCAGAAAATTGGTCACCTCCGTCTATATTTGCGAGCTACTTACAAACACACCAGATCAAAATTAACGAATAAATAAATAACTCAAATTTTAATTCTTTCCGTCATAAATAATAATATACTACGCCTTTGACTCACTGAGGATTGCTGTGAAAAGTTGGAAAATAAGCGTATAATAAATTCGATATAGCGTCATCACCCACAGGATTTTTCGAAAGTTAAAATTCCTGAAAATTAAATTTTAAGCAAAAGCAAAGCACTGATCAGAAATATTTTAATGTAACTTCTGGTGACTATTTCAATCACAATAAGGAAGCGAATTTGCACCCATGACTGAAATAGACAAAATTTCACTGCCTCGCACTTTCATAAAAGAAAATTCTTCGCTATTTTTAGAAATCATCCAAAATTACATAATTTTCCTGCCTCACAAACTATTACTGCAACAGAGAAGTAACATAACTAGAGCTAACATCATAAATCTTTCAGCTTTCATCCGATTTAAACTCCCATGCATATAACACCATAGCACTATATGGTAATTAATTGGAAAAGCAAGTTGAATGTACGAAAGCATCTTAAACATCGATAATAACACCACGACAAAATCCAGTTATTGATGTGTTCGAAAGTTGAGTATTTCGTCCCTCCATTTTTTCTTGCTGAAAACAGCATAAAAGACTATTTGTTTCCAGGAATAATTATGATATATAATAAGTGGTTATTGAAAAACAGCTTAATACGAAGTTTAGAAATATACTACGCAAAAGATATTTTGCCAGTCCGGTGACTGACCAATATAAACGTGTGAACACCTGCCTTATACGCACCTTCTTCATGGTAAATGTGTGGTAGGGTTTCGTGAATTCAATTTGTCGCTTTTAGCAGCTGATGGGTCTGAAGCAAGATGCAATTATTAGGTATTATACTATTATTCAGCAGTTTTGATAAGCCCGCTCCCTATGTTGGTTTTACAAATTACCACGTAACTGCGTAAAACATTGTAGTGGAGATACAGAGAGTTCATCGCTCAAAAACTGAAGACGGATGATTGAAAACGTGTGTGAGCGACACTTGACAGCAAAGCAAAAGAGACGAAAGTAAAACCGCGCTCCAAGCCAAATTATGTGAACAGATATTCGGGATTCTGCAGCGCGAGATACAGGCAGGATAGGTCCGGATAGTCCGACTATGCGCCTACATCAGAAAATCACATCTGCTGAACAGGGGCATTAAGGATGCGTTCTCATCCACTCCTGCGATAGCGTGAAATATGAAAAAGAGAAAGTGGCAAACGCGAAAACACAAAATTTACGATCATTTCGCAACTTATAGTTTTTTAAGCTTGTGGAGAATGAATCTAGGCCGAAAGACTTTTTTTCCATTCTAAGCCAGTTAGTCCTGTCCCGTAGAAAGCTATTTTAGGCAATAAATCAGAAAGATTGAGATCAGCAATTCAATTAATCCTCAGAGACAGCATGCCAAAGAAGGCAAGACCACTTTTCGATGAACGGGGCACGTCTTGATACGTTCATGCACAGTGAATTAGACGAGGATGCATTGGCAAGCCTTATTTCGCGAATCTCCAATCAACTGCTTCTGCCTTTCCAGGATAATATAGCGCGATCTAAATAATCGAGGACAAACAGTTGCCGGAGCTGAAAGTAGACTCGACTATCGACTCTAGCTATCGACTTAATTTCAATGTGGGAGCCATTAATCGACACAACTATTCTCCTGAGAAACATTTATAGATCTACATTTGATAAAATAGGGCATGGAACTTTACCACCATTTCCGTTCCTCCATGCTTCATTAATTTCGCAGAAATTTGGCCCATTCCTCGGGTCTTCTTTGCTTTGAGGTGTGCTGACGAGTTTTGGACTTCTTCTTCGATGGATGGATCTGCCGTAACCAACATTAATGACAGAGATCTAAGAGTCGAAAATGACGAATTTTTAGAGCAATTAAGGAAAAACCTAAACCAATT